CCTTCTTTCTTTCTTTCTTTCTTTCTTTCTTTCTTTCTTTCTTTCTTTCTTCCCATGCCAGCTGTTTCCCGAACCCAAGTCTTGTCTTCCTTTTTTCCTAAAGGTCTTTGGCTTCTCCCCCCTCCCCCCCCCCGGCTTCCTTCAGACCCCGGCCTCGAGAAGTGTGGCAGGCAAAATCTGTGCTCCGCATCTTGCTTCCCCCCCCCTTTTCTTTCTGCTCCATTTGCTGGCAGCCAGAAAGAGAGAATCTCTCCCCGTTGCATTTGGTAATATATTATTAGTTCCGCTGCTTTCGCTTCTGTGAGCTCAAAATAGCTGCGCTCGGTGGAGGCGGTGGGTGGCACGGGTTGAGTTCAATGGCGGCCGATTCCTGAAGGATGCTTGTCTATTATTCACGGCTTTTAGAGGGGCCTCTGCGCTGCTGCCACCGAGGCGAGCCAGCCCGGGGGTTTAAACGGCGGTGCTGAACTCAAGACGTGCTCCAGGTCTCCTGGCAACCCCTCTAGGGGGGCCAGGTGTGAACTCCTGGAGGGGCCGAGTCTCCGCCAGCTGCACCAGGCTGCTGCCTCGCTGGTAAAAGGCGCTGCAGGCGCTGGAGTCCTCCTGATTTATGGCCTCCCCCCCTCCTCTTCCCCACTCCAAGCACATTTACCTTGCCTGCCGCTTCTTGCGAGCGCCTATAAATCTCTCGTTGCACCTGTCTCCACCGCCTGGTAATTGCTGCATCCTTCAGATGCCAGGCCGACAGAGAGCCTGACCTCCATCTTTTATGAGCCTGGGAGAGTGACTGGGGAGGGTCTGTCAGGACTTCCAGAGGCCAGGTGGCGCAGACCCTCTCCTCCCCCCGCCCTGAAATAAGCCCAGGAAAAACAGAAGCGGTGCCAGACAGCAGGAGCACCTGGGGAAAGGGGGCAGCACCCATCCCTTTGAGGAGAAGGCTTGGTTGTGGTTTTGGAGGGTGGTGGCTGTGGGTCAGGATTTAACAGTGGGGCACCTATGCTCCATGCACACTTAGAAATATTCTTCCCTGGCGGGTGATTGTTCCTGGCCGGGGGGAAAATAGGATTCACAGGGATGAGATTCTGCTTGCAAACCTGTCTTTGTGTGACCACCTTAGAAGCAAAATGGGAGCATCCTAAATTCAGACCAGCTGGTGATAAGATCTCGTGGGGGGGGAGGACAATGGCAGGTTGGGGGAATTGCCTTATAGCCCTTTCTCCGTGCCCCATGGATCAGGCTGAGCCCAGGTAACTGGCCGGCCTTGGTAGATTTATTTATTTATTATCAAAATTTATATGCCGAAGGACTCCGGGCGTGTGTGGTGGCTGCCTTTCCACCACGGCAAAAATCCTGCAGCTTTGCTTGGGGTTGACTTGCCAAGCGGCATGAATACAGGTAGTCCTCACTCAACGACCACCAGTTGGAACCCACAACCCCTTGCTGCGTGATGTGGTCACTAAGCAAGACTCAATTGTGGCCCGCAGTTTTACCGGAGAGTTCTCCGTCAGTTCTGTTTGCTGGGAGCTCTGTCACGTGATTGAGATTGGGAGGAGGCTTTGAATGGTCATAAGTGGGAGGACTGGTCATAAATAAAGCTTTTCAGTACCGTCGTGACGTTGAGTAGTTGCTAAACAGGACAGTAGTCAGATGAGGACTATTTTTAATGCTTTGGAAATCACGGTTTGTGGCTTAGCCTATCAAGAAAAGTCAGTCCTCCTATTGGGGAGGGGGGTTTGCAGCAACTCCCCCCCTCCCCACCAAGGAGCCCAGCGTTACCTCGCCATCCAAGGATCGTCCCCCCCGCCCCCTCTCCAAATCAGCAAGCTTGGTTCTCTTGTCTTTCTCTTTTCATTTTAAAACGTGAGACCACTTGACCCCATCGAAAGCTTTTTCTGCGGCTGTGTGAATGCTTTCCTGTTTCCCTCGAGGTGCTAATGACCTTGCCCTATGTGATGCAGGGAGTTGCTGCCTTCTTGTGCTTTGTGAGATGTGAGTCAAGCAGGCGCCCTGCGTGGCATCAACTGTGCCACCCCAAAGACCAGCTTGGGGGGGAGGGGCTGCGGAAGCTCCCTCCCGTGAGCTCTTCCTTTCCGTATTTCCTGGCAGGGGAAATCTAGCTGTCCAGTTCCGACTGTCCTGTCAAGCAGATTTGCAATGAATGCTATGGGTCTGGAAGCGCCCACCGCTCAGGCCCTCCAGAGGATGGGTGTCCATTAGTCTGAGTTATGGGGCCAGGAGGGAAACACTGCCCGGCCCGCCAGAAGTGGTGTTTCCTTCTGTATCAGAGAAAGCTTTCCTGGAATGGGGAAACATTAGCACTCTAGGGCTGGCTGCCAGAATTCTTCTTCATTGGGTCTGGCCCATGGGGCTCCTGGGAGATGTAGTTCAGCCGCCTTTAGAGGCCCCCTTCCTCACCTCTGCTGGGCTGAGCAGATCAACCGCTGGCCAGCTGCTGCCTCCTAGCGGTGGCTAGAAGTAATGCTGCTTCTCTATCCCATCCACTCATTTTAGAGATGGGGCAGTCCGCTCCCCATCGTAAGAGCTCCAAAATGGAGAATTAAAACCTGCGGAAAGGACCCCCCTAGGCTTGAAGGACTTGTGGGTCCAGAGACTTTGGGCATTGCAACCGCACTGTGGCCTCCAGACAGTGTTCCGGTGTTTCGTATTCCAGATGTTAGATGGAGGCTGACAACCTTCACAAAAGACCTTCTAGGCCAGAGAGCCAAGCTGGATGACGGCTTCCCAAATGGAAATACAAAGAAAACCATGGCAGGGTTTGCAATTGTGGCGATTGCCGATGAGCGCAAACACCATTCCCAGTTGGAGGAAGCTTTATTGATGGCTGTGAGCGAAACCCCCATTGCCCACCATTAACAAGCCAGTTGCGAAAGCAGGACCACACCCTTGGAAAGCATGATTCTGAGATCTGGGAGAGGAGAATAGACACATAAACAATTGAGACAGCAGGCAAATGAGCTGATAGCTTATCTCATAAATAGCAATTTAGCCCAGCTGGAGAGAGAACGAGGAGCCTTTCAAATGCACAGAGGCTCCACCTTGGTGAAGTCACTCATACCATTTCCAAGAGTTTGCATTTCATGCTAAAGGTCTATTGTTAAGGTCTGCGCAATTCTAGTTTATTGGCTGTGCCCAGTTCTGGACAGCTGGACAGGAAGNACCTGAAAAACAAAAATGGGCAGGGGGGCTACACATGGGGGGGGGGTCGCACGTGCATGGGGAGGAGCGTGAAGGTGGTTAGGTTAGCCATCACTGTCTTAAACTGTGACAACATGGACAATCCAGTGGCTCCTTCTGAGGGAGATGAGCAGTTTAAAAATGGGAAATATAAATCTTCATATTTGTTCTGGCAAATCATGTTTCCATATATTTCTATTTTAGGAGATGAGGTTTCTATATACTATGATCCAATGATTGCTAAATTAGTTGTTTGGGCAGAAGATCGCCCAGCTGCTTTAAGGAAATTAAGATACTGCCTTCAACAATATAATGTAAGTGTAAAACTCTCTTAAGTGTTTCAAATGGCATACCTGATAAATCATTTTCCAGATTTCCCCTGTCCGACGCTCTCAGTCCCTTAGAGGTTATGACTCCCAGAATCATCAGCCAAGAAGGCCCAGTGTTATGTTGAAAAACAGGGGAAGACTGTTGTAGATAGTCTTCAGGCAACAGCAGATCACACCAGCTGTTTAATGGGCTCCATCCCGCTCTGGGTTCCCCAGGCCCGCTGGCAGAACCAGGTCTTCAGTGCCTTCCGGACGAGAATTAGAGTGAGGGCCATTCTAATCTCTGAGGGAATGATGTTCCAGAGAAAGGGAGCCACCACGGAGAAGGCCCTTTTTCTGGGTCCCACCAGGTGTATCTCCCTCGGGGATGGGGCCAGTGGGGGGTTGCAGGTGGTATGCCCCGGTATGGGCGTACGGGTGCCTGCCGAGAGCACCAGGTACCATTCCAGTACGGTGCTCCGGAGGGCCCGCCCGCACTCCTTACCTGTATCTGAGCTCTTCGGTGCTTCTGCGCACACACATACAGCGCCTGCGCAACGTTCCACCAAGCAGCTGGAGCGTCGCAGAGGCGTCGCAGGAGGTAAGGACGCATGTGCGCGCTGCGTGCGTGTGCCTGTGTGCTGTGTGCGTTCATGTGGTGAACGCCGGGCGCCGTTGCACCGTACCAGTTGCAACGGGATCCAGAACCCACCACTGGATGGGACCCACAACATTCCCTGCCTCCCCGCTCTGATGGGTCGGGTAGGTGTGACCGGCAAGAGACAGTCCCTCAGATAACGTCGTCCCAAGCCATGAAGGGCTTTAAAGGTGACAACCAGCACCTAAAATTGCACCCGGAAGCAAATCGGCAGCCAATGCAGCTCCTGCAGAAGAGGTCATACATGTGCACACCGGGGTCTGCATTAAAACCATGCAAGCCGCTGCATTTTGCACCAACTGGAGCTCCCGGATGCTCTTCAAGTGCAGCCCCATGTAGAGCGCGTTGCAATAGTCAAGAAGTGACTAGGGCACGTGTGACTGTGAGTAGGCCATGAGGCTTTGCCAATATAGCGGCATGCAAGTTGAATTGATGAATTTATCTTTTGGTCTTGCATAAATTGCTGCAGATCTATTGATTTGTTAGTAGGGCCAAAAAGCACCCGTTGTTGATAGGCCTTTTTCTGGTGCATCTCTTCCTCCCTTGGCAGATCGTCGGACTGAGCACCAATGTGGATTTCTTACTGAATCTCTCAGCCCATCCAGAGTTTGAGGCTGGGAACGTTCACACTAATTTTATCCCTCAACACCACAGTGAGCTCTTTCCACCCAAGCCGTCAATTTCGAAAGTGACTTTGTGCCAGGCAGCTCTTGGCCTCATTCTGAAAGAGAAACTGGTGACTGATACCTTTAGACTCCAGACAGAAGGTAAGAAAGCTGCAGCTTTTTCCTGTTTTATTAGTGAAAAAGGTGCTTTTACATCTTACTTACCATATCAGTGTCTCTCAATCGTGGCAACTTTAAGATGTGTGGACTTCAACTCCTGCTGGCTGGGGAATTCTGGGAGTTGAAGTCCACGTATCTTAAAGCATCCACGGTTGAAAAACACGCATGTACTTTAAAAACTGTGGGCGTTTTTATGCATCCTGTTTAAGTACTTTTCATATGATTATCTTGGCGTGGCGGCAACATGTAATCGAACACACATAACCTTATAAGCATACCATCAAGCTGCATGATTTGATTGTACGCTGTGGGATTCAGAGTCTATTTTGCAAGCATTTGAGACTGAGTCGTTAACAGGTGTTCTGATCCAGTGTGGATTCTCATAGATGGAGACTTTGAGCAATTTGCATAAAAGATTGTTCCCAGTTTCGTTGCATGGAAAATTCCAGTTTGAACAGTTGCCCAGAAATATACATTTGTACTGAGAAGTTCAAATGTGTATATAGTGCTTATGTGTGCACAGTGATGGGATTCAAATAATTTAACAACCGGTTCTCTGCCCTAATGACCAGCTGGGTAGGTGTGGCTTGGTGGTCACATGACTGGGTGGGCGTGGCCAACTCAACGTCACTCAGGTCGATGGGCGCTTCGCCTTAGCTGTTACAACGTAATAAGCATTAACCGGAGAGGCAGTTTCTGTAAGCAGGGCAATAACGATGAGGCTAGAAACAACACCAGAATGTTTGTTTCCTTCCTGCCTTCCTTACAGGATTAGCCCTGTAAAGTGGAAAAAAACCAAAATGAGATTTCTTCCAACAACCGGTTCTCCGAAGTGCTTAGAAAGTTAACAACTGGTTCTCTCCAGTAGGTGTGAAGTGGCTGAATCCCACCACTGTTCGTGCAGCATTATGCAAAGTAATGTATCCAACTGCAAGCAGGTTTCAATATTGCTAGCATTGTCCAATTCAGCGGAAATGTGTATTAAGTATGTCTATTTTTCTGTACATATTTAATATTCCAGATAAGTTCTCTCCATTTGCATCCAGCAGCGGCAGGAGAATAAATATCCCCTATGTTAGAAACATGATTCTCCTGGATAATGAAAAAAGTAAGTGAATGAACAATAAATAAATAACTGAAAATGACTTATGAAATGATAATGAATGTATCTGAACTCCATTACTGTGCAGCTGAAAAAGGCAAAAAGGGACAGGGCAATTGGGCTGAATATTTTGTGAACTGGCTGGGAAATTCTGGGAATTGACGTTCGCCCATCTGAAACTTCCTGGGTTTGATTATGGTTATTGCGCCTTTGTATTTAGAGTTTTATTAGTGTACTATGAGTTATAGCAATTAGCAATAGCAGTTAGACTTATATACCGCTTCATAGGGCTTTCAGCCCTCTCTAAGCGGTTTACAGAGTCAGCGTATCGCCCCCACAATCTGGGT